CTTGTGGATTTAATTATTTCTATAGTAATGACTCCTATCTCCATGGCCAGCCTGAGACTTTATATACAACTATTTACTTGACAACTCTGCTTGGAAAACTTGTTGGCATCTCACATTTAATATGTCTAAAGTAGAAATTTTTTATTTCATATCTCCCAAATCTCTCACTTTCTGCTTCATTTCAATAACTGTTTTTATAATAGTTCAGGACCAAACCTTGCTGTCATCCTTGACTCTACTTTCTCACATTTAGTCCATCACAAGGTCTGTCAGTTCCACCTTAATAAAAACATCTCACTCACTGCTGCTTCTACTTTTACAACCCACTACCACCCAGGCCCTCTATAGGTTCCATTATTTTGCACTTGGATTATTACAATAGTCTCGTAACTGTGTATTAGATTTTATATGTATATGTGTGTGTGTGTGTGTGTGTGTGTATGAGATCATAGCGTGTGGCTTAGAATACACCAGTGGTTTATCATCTCCTAATAACAACCAATTCTACTGGTCTTTGAGGACTTACTTGGCTAGCCAGTGCCCTCCAACCTTTAGTATTATAATCTCTTACCCAGTTCTATTCCCACTGGGCTTGCTTTTTCTTGTGTACTCCAGAAATTCTCAGACTTGAAGACTTGTACTCACTATTTGCTCTCTTTGTAGTATTCTCCCTCTGAGATTTCTGAATAGCTCAGTTCCTCATATCCTTTTGATATCTCCTCAAATACTGGAAAAAGTCCCCTTTCCTAACTTCCCTAAGTTAAGTTTCTCTCCTCTTCTTACTCTATTCTTACCCTATTTTATTTTTCCTTATAGCAGATATTGTCACTTGACATATTTTACTAGAATAGAAGCTCTATGATGGTGGGACTTTGTTTTGTTTGCTCTGGTGTTTTCAGTTGTCTAGACTGTTAGATAGCTCCATAGCAGCTTCTCAAAATTTGTTAAACAAATGATCACCTTGCTTCTGATTTAGGAGAAAATACACATACATGTTTGAAAAATGAAAGGCACAAAGTTGGCACCCCAAAAATGGCAAATGGGGATGTGGAAAGAATCTGATTTCTTGGTGACCTTGCTGAACTGATGAAATAAGCAGTTCTGGAACTGTCTTACGTTTGGACTCTTGTGTTGGGTAATATACCCAACCCCTTTTCAGCTACCTTGAGTTGGGTTTTCTGTTTTTTCCAGTCTAGAAACACAGTATTTCATACATAACCATTTTACTTCTAAAGTACACTAATTAAAAAATATCCTGGTTGGAGAAACTGAAGTAAAATTGATACTGATGTCTCTCCAGTGTTGCAGATTAAATTAGGTCTTTTGAAATGAATGTTTCTACATAGTAGGAGTGCTAAAAATGTGTGTGCTGTGTGATCTAATAACCCCACCTTTAGGAATTTATCCTTGGAGACTAATTCAAAAGAAGACAAAAAGCTATATGCATAGAGATGTTCAAAGCTACATTGTTTATAAAAGTGAAAAGTAGAAAATGACTATGATTGTTGACTTGATTTTTAGATGCCTTGAAAATTATTTAGAAACTTTTGTAAAGCTCAATAAAATATAAAAAATACTGAGCAACTCAGTTTTATGTTATATGGGCAGAATAAATCTAGGCTCTTAAAAGTCAGTGCAGTGGTTCTTCTTGGTAGAGAGGTAAAGATGTGGAAGGGAGCCAAAGTGGGGTTTCTGGGACGTTTATGGTCATCGTCGTCTTTTTTTTTTTTTTAGGTGTATTATTGTAGAGTGTGTGAAGATTTATCAGGCTGTAGTTCTGATACATGTACTTTTCTGTGTGTATCTTGTACTTCAATAAATGATTAGAAGAAACCATAAATTTGTCACAATTATATAATATATACTCATGTAGAATAAGACATGAAAACATTAAGTGTTAATTGATAGCATTTGTTTATAATTTTATTTAATGATTTTCTTAATCAGATAAACTGTCTTAACTTTGAAAAAATATTTTTAATTGTGATAAATTATATATTATGCTCTTTCTGTATATTTTTATAATAGCTTTGTTAAAATATAATTCACATACCATACAGTTCACCCATTAAAGTATACAATTCACTGTTTTTGATTTTTAGTATGTTCACAAAATAGTGCAATGATTACCACATTTTAGAACATTTTCATCACCCCAGAAAGAAACCCATTACCCATTAGCAGTCACTCCCTGTTTTCTCCTGAACCTCTTTTTTTTTAAATTTTGTATTAAGGTATTATTGATATAAACTCTTGTGAAGGATTCACATGAAAAAAACAATGGTTACTACATTTACCCATATTATCAAGTCTCCACCCATACTCCAGTGCAAGCGATGTCCATCAGTGTAGTAAGAAGCCACGGCTTCACGATTTTCCTTCTCTGTGCTACACTGCCTAAACCTCTTCTCTTTGTGGCTTATTTTTAATAGCCTTTCCTCCTGCATTTTCTTGCAGTCAGGTATGGGTTTCCTTCTTTGAAGCTCTGGTATCTTACTTCTCTTGATTCAGTAACTGAAATGAGAGAGTGGAGTGAGTAGTGTTTTTAAAAAGGTGTTTCAGTTTATTAGAAAGTATTTCAGAGTTTAAAAAATAAAGTATAATACAACATACCCATCTTAAATTTTTAAAAAGCAAAGATTAGTTAATTGATATGTTCTGAATTCTTACAAATGACAGTTCTATTGGGTTGTTTGTCTTAAAATGGTCCTGTGTGTTTCTGGTGATATTCTACTCACCTCCTACCAATTTTATAGAAAAAAAGCCTGCCTCAGACAACTGAAGTTCAAGCAGGTTAAGCAGCTTGTCCAAGTTTGCACAGCTGTGGGATGGCAGAACCAGGGTTTAAAGCCCAGGGGGTTTTGTTTTATTGTTTTAATACGTGTAGAAGCTCTTTACTAAACATGTTCACTAATCACAGAACATCTTAAATGTTCCAAAGTTAGGACTTGTGGAGACAGTGAAATTACAGGATTCTGGCTAATGACGGCAACACCAGGAATCTGAAGATGTGTGTTATGCTCCAGGGGTACTAATGTAATGGAATACTGTGATCTCCTTGAGTACTTTTGAGAAGAGGCTAAAGATTTGTGCTTCTTCCTGTTGTATCTCTGAACATTTTTGTCTTTGGTTTCCCAAGGATAATCTCTTTGGAAAAAGTGAATGTATTCAACTTTCATATTGTACTAGGACTTACTACTTCTGCTTCTGAAAATGAATAATAATTATTCTTTTCTAAAAGTGAAGCTGCAAAATACCCACAATGCTGCCAACACTCTGAGTAAGTAGTTTGGCAGGATAATCATATGTTAAGAGCCTTGATGAGTTATTTTCTAGTTGAGGTAAAGGATCCAAATGGAATTATGTGACGTTTGTAACCGGGGATGCTGAGACCCAAGATATGAATTCTTGATTCTGTGGCTATGGAGGAAAAAGCTGTTACTGATAATCATAAAAATATCCTTAACAAAAAGTTATGAATTTTCCTGCAAAGAAACTGAAGACTTGGAGAAGTTAAATGTGACTAAAAGCTCATATTCAGTGGCAGAATCTAGGTCTTCTGAGTTTGAATCAGTAATCCTTTTCATTAATAAACTTTGTTAAAAACTTTTCAAAGATTGTTTTATCCTTTACTCCATTTAAACCAGCAGATGAGGCTAAATTTATGAATATCTTTTAGAGTTGTCGATATGATGATTTCTTATATAAAAGCATTTTTGTTTTCAGAGAATGTTTTCTGATTCTCATTTTGGAAAATGTGGAAATAAGGAAAAAATAATACACGTACAGCTACATATATAGTTGACCCTTGAAAAACATAGGTTCGAACTGCATGGGTCCACTTATATATGTCTTTTTCAGTAAATATATTGGAAAACTTTTTGGAGATTCGCAACAATTTGAAAAAACATTTTCTTTTCTCTAATTGCCTTTATTGTAAGAATTCAGTGTATTATACATATGACATACAAAATATGTGTTAATTGACTTTATGTGATTGGTAAGGTTTCCGGTTAACAGTAGGCTATAAGTAAGTAGTAGTTAAGTTTAGGAGCGTCATAAGTTATGTGGAGATTTTGACTGCCCAGGGGTTGGTGCCCTTAACCCTCGCATTATTTAACGGTCAATTGTATAAATATGTAAAAATAATGTGTATCTGCAGAAATAACGAGGTGCATTTTTTAAAAAACACATTTTGGTGCTGGTAAAGAAGTGATTTGAATATAAAAAAACACACACATCACTTTTTAGTAGAGTTAAAAAACCAGCAGATGAGGCTAAATTTATGAATATCTTTTAGAGTTGTCGATATGATGATTTCTTATATGAAAGCATTTTTGTTTTCAGAGAATGTTTTCTGATTCTCATTTTGGAAAATGTGGAAATAAGGAAAAAATAATACACGTACAGCTACATATATAGTTGACCCTTGAAAAACATGGGTTCGAACTGCATGGGTCCACTTATATATGTCTTTTTCAGTAAATATATTGGAAAACTTTTTGGAGATTTGCAACAATTTGAAAAAACATTTTCTTTTCTCTAATTGCCTTTATTGTAAGAATTCAGTGTATTATACATATGACATACAAAATATGTGTTAATTGACTTTATGTGATTGGTAAGGTTTCTGGTTAACAGTAGGCTATAAGTAAGTAGTAGTTAAGTTTAGGAGCGTCATAAGTTATGTGGAGGTTTTCGACTGCCCAGGTGTTGGTGCCCTTAACCCTCACATTATTTAAGGGTCAATTGTATAAATATGTAAAAATAATGTGTATCTGCAGAAATAACCAGGTGCATTTTTAAAAAATACACATTGTTGGTGCTGGTAAAGAAGTGATTTGAATATAAAAAAACACACACATCACTTTTTAGTAGAGTTAATAATATACATTTTATGTCCCTCTTCTTTCAAGATTATTATTACTTACTTCCTCATCTAATTTGTACATCTAAATTTTCTTTTGTTGATTTTTATTTATTTTTTCTTTCCCCCATAGATCTTGAGCCAGATGATTGTGCATCCATTTACATCTTTAATGTAGATCCACCTCCATCGACTTTAAATTCACCACTTTGCTTACCCCATCATGGACTACCGTCTCACTCCTCTGTTTTGTCATCATCGTTTCAGTTCCAAGGTCACAAAAACTACGAAGGAAGTTGTGAAATTCCTGAATCTAAATACAGTCCATTAGGTGGTCCCAAACCCTTTGAGTGCCCAAGTATTCAAATTACATCCATCTCTCCTGTCATCAAGAAATAGATGCTCATGAAGATGATGTACACATAAATGACCCAGCAAGGGAATTTTTGGAAAGGCCTTCTAGAGATCATCTCTATCTTCCTCTTGAGCCATCCTACCGGGAGTCTTCCCTTAGCCCTAGTCCTGCCAGCAGCATCTCTTCTAGGAGCTGGTTCTCAGATGCATCTTCTTGTGAATCTCTTTCACATATTTATGATGATGTGGATTCAGAGTTGAATGAAGCTGCTGCCCGATTTACTCTCGGATCCCCTCTGACTTCTCCTGGTGGCTCTCCAGGAGGCTGCCCTGGAGAGGAGTCCTGGCATCAACAGTATGGACTTGGACACTCCTTATCACCCAGGCAATCTCCTTGCCACTCTCCTAGATCTAGTGTCACTGATGAGAATTGGTTGAGCCCCAGGCCAGCCTCAGGACCCTCATCAAGGCCTACTTTCCCCTGTGGGAAATGGCGGCACTCTACTGCTGATGTTTGTTATGCTGGGTCCCTTTCACCCCATCACTCACCTGTTCCTTCTCCGGGTCACTCCCCCAGGGGAAGTGTAACAGAAGATACCTGGCTCAATGCTTCTCTCCAGGGTGGATCAGGCCTTGGTCCTGCACTTTTTCCATTTCAGTGTAGAGACTGATATCCCTCTGAAATCAAGGAAGACTTCTAAAGATCAAGCTACTGTACTACCAGGAAAACTAGAACTCTGTTCAGATGACCAAGGGAGTTTATCACCATCCCAAGAGACTTCGATAGATGATGGCCTTGGATCTCAGTATACATTAAAGAAAGATTCATCTGGTGACCAATATCTTTCAGTTCCTTCACCTTTTACCTGGAGCAAACCAAAACCTGGCCACACCCCTCTCTTTCGGTGAGTTGGTGGGAATGGCTACCAGTCATTTTTCATGCTTGTGGGTTACTGGTGGCAGATATTATCTGTATGGAATGGTTTTACCATTTTTCCTCTTCCTCTTTTTCATTCTGTTTCTTCCAGACAGTAGCATTAAAGTCCACATTTATTTGCTTTGAGTCTTAGAAGTGTTCATAGATAGGTTAGAGTTATCATTTTAAAAGTGTATAGATAACAAATTGTAGATAATAACAAGTTACATTTAAGAATTCTAGAAGGAATCTTCTTATCTACGAAAGCTTTAAACTAATTGGTAATAGGTTTTTTATATTTTTAAGGGCTGAATATGCAAATTAATTAGCTTTTTCATATTTGTGGCAAGTGTTTCATAATTTATTTGTCTTTTGACTGTAAGTTTGTGATTTTTTTAGTTATAGAGGAATGTTTAAATTTTATATATTCAAATTTGTTTTTTTCTTTATGGCTTTTGGATTTTGTGTCATATTTGAAAGCCTTACCCTACTCCAAAATAATTAAAAATAAAAATCCAGCTTTCACATGTTTCTAATAAAGTTTTTTATATATCATTTATATATATATATCTATATATATAACAAAATATATCTAATATTTGTATTTATATAATACAATTATATTTATATCACATTTATAGAATGCAGTGTAGTTTATATAATACATCCTTGGGTCCAGCTAAGGACTGGAGTAAAGAAAAGTGTAAGAACTTTATTTTCTAAAAGCTTTAATCTAGTTTATAATGGTTTGGAAAAGATATCTTTTATCATGTATTATATCCCCACATGGAATTGGATCTGTTTATTTTATTTTATTTTTTTAATGCTTTTTCATTGGTATGAATGTTTATTTCTGGATCCAGATCTTTAGAAAAATATAATGTGGAATTACAGTATTTGAAGACACCTTTGTGCCCATCACTCTGCTTCTGAAAATTATCGTAGTCTTTTTAGGAGGTTATTTAAGTCTGCAGAGTAAGTGCAGAAACTAGCTGAGAGTTGACAGTGAGTTGGTGTTTCATACTGATAAGAATTAATACCTTTAAACTTCATAGTAGCTAGTAAAACTAGGCTGAGGACATTCAAGGAAGCAGTGAAGTAATTTAGAAATTCATAGTGGCAGACATGATAGCATTTCAGTGTTAGACGAGACTTTATTTAAAAGTCCTATTTCACCAATCACTAAGAAGGTATTTCTTTAAAAATACAAATCATTCTAGTTTTAGATCCATTAATATTTGACTTACAGACATATAGATTGTTTCTCTTCTAATTCCATATTTTCAATGTTAATGTATCTAAATCATCCTGTAGCTCATTAAGCTGTTTAAAGTATCATTGATCAATTGACATTTGTCTCTGATGTTGACATTTGGAGGTGCTACAGTGATAGGCCTTAGATTTTTCTCAGCCAAGTATGTAAGGAAATTAAATTTTTATCTCAAATTGCAATGTGCTGCTGACTATAAGCAGTATTTCATATTGATAGGGAAAGAGTAATAGGAAGGACATTGGAGAAGCAACATGTACAACAGATTGACTGCAGTAGCTGCATACCAGGGAGGGAGATACACTGGGGGATAGGGATCCTTGGAGAGATACTGATACACATACACAAAGTTGTGCATATTTGCTTTAAAAAAATCAAATTATTACTATTTTGATTATTTTTGTAATTATGTACACATAGTTGATAAACAGTTACAATTTTGTGAAATGTTAAAATTTGTCCTTTTTAAAAAAATAGAGGAAACCAAAAAGTAGATAAAGTCATTTTTATTCTTCAGGTTAAAGAATTATATTTCTTAAGCACCCACCATATCCAGTGTTATAACTTACTAAGTGAAGTTTTATTTTGGAATACTTCATTTCAGAGATCACAGGAAGAAATGTTGGTGCTGGCATAGAAATGATTTTAATTACTGCTTGGCATTAATAACATAGTGAAATGCATCTTTGTATGTGTGTGTTTTTTTTTATGGCACATCTTCATAACCTCCACTAGACTGGCATTTACCAACTCATTTTGGACAATGTGAACTGAAAATAGAAGTGCAACCTAAAACTGATCATCGAGCCCATTATGAAACTGAAGGTAGCCGAGGAGCAGTAAAAGCATCTACTGGGGGACATCCTGTTGTGAAGGTATGAGTTAGGGCGGGTTTTGCAGATCCCATACATCTGTTAATGATCAAGTCTATTAAGTTAAGTGCTTCTGAGAAAATTCAAAGCTAGAAAGCCTCTTCTGAGATTTTATGTCCCTGTTGATATGGCAGCACTTCCACACTGAGGTTTTTTTTTGCCAGGCTAAAAAATGTTCTGGTTCTGGACTGACTCTGGCTGGGGAAGCTCTGGGAAAGAAGATTATAATGGTCAAATATTTATTTTTCTGATTAAAAAAATAAACTGTATTATGTTTATACATTATCTATCTATCTATCATCTATCATCTGTCTGTCTAATCTAGCTATCTGTCATCTATCTATCATCTATATGCTTGTTTAAAATCCAAGTAATGCAGAAAAGTAGAAGGAATAAAGCAATATATTACCCCAAATCTAAACTCCTCAGAAATAAGCAGGTGTTAACATTTGATTAACATTCCAAATAATGCTGTGTATATTTATGGAAGACTATGGATGACAAGAAAAATGAGTGGATTTTTTAAGGATAGGTTGATACTGAATATCTTTGCAATTAAAACATTTGTTTGAATTTATTAGAAAAAAATAAAGTGAAATGGTAAAACTTACATGTTTGAGTATATGAAATATATTTAATATGTAAGTTTTGAGTCATAGCAATTAGATATTAACTTTAATTTTATTTGAGTTAAACATTTAAAGAATGAAACAATGCTTCTCTCCAGGATGAAAGTCAGAGTACAAGTTAGAGCTACTGAGCCTTAGGTATTGTTCTTCACTCTAAGAGGTCCTAAAAGATCTAAGGTCAGAGAGATTAAATAAATTCTTGAGAGATTGAATAGTTGTTTTAGATTTAGGTGGGATGAATTGACTCCTTACTCTGAAAGATGAGGTAATTGTTTCTCTTAAACTTCTTCCCCTGCTCTACCTTCTCCCTCCTGAATTGGTTGCTTGTATTATTTTTCCATTCAGATCAGAGCCATCTCCCCTCAACCCCATAGTTTAGCTTAGTTGGATTCAAAGATTATTCCTAATTCTGTTTTATTTATATCATGAAGTGTTTTTGTTTTTTGTTTGCATTCTGTATTCCTTGGATTCATGAATGTTTGAGAACATGTTTGTTGTCTATGTATTTAAACGTCAGAATGGCTATCTAATAATCTTGAGTCACCCATTTTCTCAGAATTTGTTTTATGGCATTGTGTATTGTAGTGAAGTGAATTTGGACACATAGAACTTATGAACTATAATTTCCTGTGCTGGCCATGCTTTATGATTTATCATTATTACCTAAACATGTTTCATAGTTCTTGACAAAGCTGAACATTTTAGGTGGGTTTAAAATGACAGTTACTGAAAAAGATTGGAGGCAGGGGGATACAGTAGGGGAACTGGATGAAGGTTGTCAAAAGATACAAACTTCCAGTTATAAGTAAGTACTGAGGATGTGTAATGTACAAATGATGACTGTAGTTAATACTGCTGTATGGTATATTTGAAAGTTGTTCAGAGTAGATACTAAAAGTTCTTGTAACAAGGAAAAAACCTTTTTCCTTTCTCTTTCTCTCTCTTTCTGATAGCTATGTGAGGTGATGGATGTTAACTAAATTTATCATAGTAATCAACCAGCAATATATGTAAATCAAGTCACTATGCTGCATACTTTAAATTTATACTGTGCTGTATGTCAGTTGTACCTCAATAAAGCCGAAAGAAAGAATGTGAGGAAAAATCAACATGGAATTTTGCCATTTGTTATTAGAGTCATACTTTGCTCTTTAATGATACCTTTTAAAAAGTTGATTAAGGAGAAACTGCGTAGTTTCCTGTATCTTTGACTTTTCTTACTGGAAAGAAATTATTTAAAAATGCTTAAATTAACAGAAGTCTTTTGGGAGGCCAGATAATTTATTTCCACAGTATTCCTTTAATTAAAAACTGATTCTTTGTTAAGGGGAGACTAACACTTCTGATTTCTGATCAATGTTTTATGTTTCCATTGTGAGTGACTTTTTTCCTAACTTGGTGTTTGAAAAATTTTATCATTAGAGTTGAAATTAGTGACTTAACCCCAGAATATGTCTGGATATTGATGGTTCTTTATCAGTCTTTCCCAGTACCTGTGATGCTCCCTTTTAATCTGAGATTCATTCTTCTTTCGTGCAAGAAAATTTTTCTGTATTATGTATCCGTAGCTCCTGTTCCATTTGCTTTGCCTGTTACTTCTGAGACTCCAATTACTATTCAGATATTGAACTTGTTTATGTCTAGCCTCCATACCTGTATTTTCTTCTCTGGATACGTGAATGTCTTTATAGTGGTCTTCTTTTTTAACGCTTTGCCCTCCCATGTTTTTGATCTATTTGTCACTTGCTGCTTCTAATTCAGATTTTAGATCTACAGGTGTGTTTTAAATTTTAGTTTGATTCCTTGGCTTCATTTTCCATTTATTTGATATTTTATTATTATATTTGGTCTCATGATTTACTGAGTTACTATTGTTAAATTTGTTAAGAGTGGAGCATTCACTGGCAATCAGTTTCTGGATTGTGTGTGTGTATTGAGGGAGAGGTTTTGTTTTCATTTTTATCATATTCTTCAAATGTCTTTTGCATAATTTGTTCCTTTTTTCATTAAATAAAAACAAAACCAAAATATATGTACTATGATCTCCCTGTATGGCTCCGAAAGATGACTGGTAAGCCAGAGACGGGTAAGATTCCTCAAGGGAGGAACAACCTAAGACAGGCACAGTCGCAGGGGGGCCATCAGGTGAGAAATTGGGGATCAACAGTGGTGAAGCTTAGAACCTCAACCCCCTGTTTTGAGAGAAATCTTCTGCATCCGTGGATGTTTTATTGCCCTTGTCTAGCTCAGATTAACACATAGTCTACAGGCACACACCTGATCATCTACAATTGCTCTCTTACAACACTAAACTGTTTTCTACCTTTATCTTGCATCTACCTACCACTTCAGCATTTTATTAACAATAAAAAAATAATAATAATAATAAAGGGAGAAATGTGGGATCCACATATAAATCAAGTATAAAAATCAAACGAATATTCATATTTGACCTGATTGTTTATAGTTCATAATGCGTGATCAAAACCGAAAGGTTCTGTGATGACTGCCCTTGTAGTGTTCACCATGTAAGAACTTATTCACTATGTAAGAATTTGTTCACCATGTAAGAACTTGTTCGTTATGCTTCAGAAGATTGGAGACTGATGAGAATTAGGCTTGAGATGGATTAATGATTGTGCATTGAGAATTGACTCCCCTATACAGAATTTTATTGTTGTTAACAACCACTTGATCAATAAATATGAGAGATGCCCTCTCAAAAAAAATATATATAGATATATATATATGTACTATGGTTGCCTGGTTGCCATGCCTTCCCCTCCCCCATTTTGTTCTTAAGAGCTTCGGTCTGTGGGCCAAGGGAGTAAGGCTGAAGAGGTAGAGAAGTAGGTCAGGGTAGGCCTTGCTGGGTTCGGCTCAAGAGAGTGGGCAGTGTCATGTATGCTGGCCCACGCCCAGTACTCAAACATATATCACATTTCCTTGAGCTTTGCTTGTCCCCATAGTATGACGCAAGTTTTGGGAATGGTAAGCGCTCTGGACCTTTTCTGCCTTTGCCAAAGGCTCTGGAGCAGAATGTAGCATCTTTTATTGTAGACGGAAAGTTTATCCTTGACTTTCCTCAGAGCTGCCTTCCTTACAACTTTGGTCTATTTTGCTACCAACTAGTTAGCATTTGTTCACATTCTCTGATAATTTTATTTTCTCACTTTATTACTTTTTTTTGTCATTAATCTACAATTACATGAAGAACATTATGTTTACTAGGGTCCCCCCTTCACCAATTCCTCCCTACAGACCCCATTACAGTACTGTCCATCAGCTTAGTAAGATGCTATAGAATCATTATTGTCTCCTCTCTGTTGCACAGCCCTCCCCGTGCCCCCCACACACTATACATGCTAATCGTAATGCCCCCTTTTTTTTCCCCACCCTTATCCCTCCCTTCCCTCCCATTCTCCACAGTCCTTTCCCTTTGGTAACCGTTAGTCGATTCTTAGGTTCTGTGAATCTACTGCTGTTTTGTTCATTCAGTCTTTCTTTGTTCCTATACTCCACACATGAATGAAATCATTTGGTGTTTGTCTTTCTCTGCCTGGCTTATTTATACCCTCTAACTCCATCCATGTTGTTGCAAATGGTAGGATTTGTTTTCTTCTTATGGCTGAGTAATATTCCATTGTGTATATGTACACATCTTCTTTATCCATTCATCTACTGATCTACTGATGGACACTTAGGTTGCTTCCATTTCTTGGCTATTGTAAATAGTGCCTTTGGATGTAGAGTTCTATAGATGTCTTTGGGGTTGTGCCTACCCATGGGAGGGTCTGCTGGAGTTTGTGGCTGCTGAGTCCCCCTGGTCAGCACAACTTACTAAAGACCTGAAGACAGGGGGCTTCATCTCGAGGTCAGCAGTGACTGCCAAGAGGGGGCACCGCATCCCAGTTCTGCCTGGAGCCACTGAGGGCCGGACCTTTCAGGCCTGCCTTGCGCCCTCCTGACCTCATTCTGCCCAGCAGGAGCCATCTCCTCCACGGCCAGTTTCCACTTCCTTGGTTTCCCTTCTCTGAATGATACTAAAGAGGGCAATAGCCATGGGTGTGTGGACCTGGCCCCAGGCTCTGTTCTCCACATTCGTCCCCACAGCCATGCTCTGCAGAGGAAAATGAGGCTCAGGGGATTAACTTGCCCAAAGCTGCAGGTGGTCCGGCCTGAGGCTGCTTCAGCCCACCTGTCCACTGGAGACTGTCTGACGTCTGTGGGACCTGAGAGCCTCTACCCTCCACTCTCTCCATGCACCCCAGAATTGGGTAGGAGCCTTGCAGAGTCACAGGCAGCCTGAGCATCGGTAAGGAGACAGGTTGTTCTCACAATAAGCTGAAAGGCTCTCCCTGTCCTGGTCCCTAG